TCACAGCTTATAAAGTTTTATATATAGTTATATTATATATACAAAAACTATAGAATAAAGACAATTCTTGACATTGTATTGCTATTTTACCTGTTAGAACAATATCAAACTCTTATGAAGAGGAGAGTTTGCTGCAGCAGTTGAGAAATCATCTCCAGCGTGATATTTTTCATGAAATGCTGTGTGCTTGTTCTGGAAGTGTCTTTCAACATTACATTGTTTGCACATATCAAACATACAGGTAAACCAGCATCGTTGGCAGTGAAAGCAAATGAAGACGTGCATGCAGAATTAAACTCTCTATTTTCCTCCGTGACTTTTCTTTCTTTGGATTTATCCATTGGTAGTTTACTGAGGGCGGGGATCTGCAGATCATGATTAGCCACCTGCAGGGAAAGGCTCTTGACAGGTGTAATAGGATGTGACGCACATTTTAGTTGACAAAATATTAAAACATTTTTATTTAAAGTCGGGTATTACTGACCTTGTTGTCTTTACTAGCAGCTGTTGTCCAGTTAAAGTCTGCATTATTACAGAGGAAGCAGCTGTTATTGGAGCGATTAGTGAGCAGCGTGTCCAGTGGCGTTATCAGACCTACCGAGCGGCCGTCTGAAGTCACGTTAGCGCCTTTGAGCAACTAATCCACTTCCTGTTTACACCGGCACCCACCCGCATGTCCAGTGTACGTGAATAGTCACGTGATATTCGATTTTAGGCGTTTGAGTCTGGACGGAGATCATTTGAACAGTGGTCCCCAACCTTTTTTGCACCACGGACCGGTTTCATGTAAGACAATATTTTCACGGACCGGCCTTCAAGGTGTGGCGGAAAAACACGACGAAATAAAATATGACCGGCATGAAAACAAATATAAAATGCTTAAATAAATACAACTCACAATAACGCTGAATCAGTGGGAGCCCTGAGCTTGTTTCTCTGCAACGAGACGGTCCCATCTGGGGGTAACGGGAGACAATGACACCCGCAGTGTGTTCGTGATGTCCATTCTACTCCGTTTAGTTGTGATTGCCGTCACTGCAGAACATCCCGCTTCACAGAGAGGATGTGTGAAATGGAAGCAGGGTTTTCAGTGCTTTAGTAGTGATCTCAGGATATTCAGCCTTGATTTTAATCCTAAACTCCAGCAGAGGTGTTGTCTCAAACATACTTTTAAGGCCACCGTCATTTACAACCTCCAGCAGCTGATCTTCCTCTGTGTTCTGCAGAGCGGGTTTGGCGCGTCAGAATTACTCCTGATGTTTAAATCAGCCTGATATTGTCTGTTAAATGAAGCTTTCTTTTTCTTGGAAGTTGTAGCTCTTCTTCTGTCTCCTTAGTGGCCTTTTCTCATTTGCAAAGACGCTCTCCAAAAGTTATTTACTTATTTTCGCTAGTTTGCGGGCTTAGTTTTTGAGGTAACGTATCACGTGACCGAGACGAGCGTCTTGACATGTGTCAAGAGGCACAGGCGGATGAAATTGCGAGAG